TTCTAACAACTGATCCACAATGCGAACTTTGATAAGCAGTTCTCGATAATCAGTTCTCAACAATTATTTGTTATTATTAAAGTTTAACATTTTAAAATTAACAAAAATAATATAAAACTCATATCCTGGTGAAATAGCCACATGGCAGCCAAAAACTGAATATTCCCTTCCCGTTCTCCCTCCGTTCCGTAGCTTGTGCATTCTTTCCAAAAACTGAGACTTTTTAAAAATGCTGCGGGACGTAGGACAAATTGTTAAAAATCGGGACTGTCCCGCCAAAAGCGGGACGTCTGGTCACCTTAATTTAAGGGTGTACACGCACTAGTAGGGGGAGGGACAAAATGGGCGGATCCTAGATTCTAGATGGCAGCCTAATTTTGGTCCTCCTTGAGTGGGCTTGACTTGGCTCTGGGTTCCCCTTCAAGGTAGCAATCCTCTATCCTTATCAGCAGGGTGTAAGTCCACCTAAGGTGGGACAGACAATGGGGTCTGACTTCTCCAGATGACTGACGCCCTCAGGGAGATAACTTCAAAGCGGATGACCTCACAATGAGTTTGTAAGCTGGTCCTTGGCTGGGTATACAGTGTGGGGAAACAACCTGGGGAAAAACCTTTTTGTATCCCACAAGTAAGGATACAGTCATTGGTCCAGAGCAGTGCTGCTTCTCAGCTAGCAGCCAGGTCTCTCTCTGATCCTCAGCATCTCAGCCTCACTGTCCCTAAGCTTCTGCCTCTGTGGGCCAGGAAGCCGCCTGCCTCTCTGCTTCACAATCTACAGTCATGGCATTGCGCCTTTCCACAGTCTTTTTTTTTAAGTTGGGGGCTTGTATAACTCTTATAACAATCTGTACATACATAGATGTGTCAAACACATTAGTACATGTGTTGCTGTCATCATTCCCAAATATTTTCTTTGTACTTGAGCCCTTGGTATCAGCGCCTCATTTCCCCCCTCCCTCTGTCATGTCTCACACTGTCGGACATCTCCCATTACCCACTTTTCTGTTGTCCATCTCCTAGGGAGGGGGAAATATGTAGATCCTTGTGATTGGTTCCCTCTTTCTTTGGCTTTACCCAAGGCTCCTTTGCTCTGTCCCCTCGTCTTCACGCTGCAGCCCCTGGGCACTTAAGAGATCTCGACTGCTCCACTGCTGGCTCTTCCTTCGGATGGTCCTGGGAGTTTTCTGTGTTTCTGCTTCTGAGATGGCTCATTCTTATACCGGGGTGTGTTTTTTTCTTTCACTAGACCCTTCTCCCAAGGAGCCAAAATGTTGTTGCTGCTGCTTTCGTAAGGTGCCATCAAGTTGGTTCTGACCCATAGTGACCCTGGGCACAACAGAACAAAATATTGCCTGGCCCTGCGCCATCCTCACAGTTATTCCTTGCTTGAGCCCATTGTTGTAGCCATGGGGTCAGGCCATCTCTTTGAGGACCTTCCTCTCCCTCGTTGCCCCTCTCTTTACCAGACATGATGTCCTTCTCCAGGGACTGGTCTCTCCTGACAACATGTCCAAAGTATGTAAGACAAAGTCTCACCATCCTGGCCCCTAAGGAGCACTCTGGCTGTCCTTGTGAGAGAGATTTATTTGGCCTTTTAGCAGGCCATGTTACTTTCAATATTCCTCTCTAGCACCACAATTCAAATACATCAATTTTTCTTTGGGCTCCTTTATTCAGTGTCCAACTTTTATACTCAAATGAAGCATTTAAAGGTAACATGGCTTGGGTCATGCACACCTTCATCCTCAAAGTAACTAACATCCTGGCTTTGCAGTACTCATGAGATCTTGTGCAGCAGGTTTACCTAGTGCAAGTCATCTTTTTGGTGACTTGAGTCACCTGCTCTACTAAGATGGAGACCCAGAATATATTCCTCCTTAATCCTGTCATAGATTGACTCCAAAATGAAATTATAACCATAGGCATAGAGGCTAGACTTTATACTACATCACAAAAGGGATTATGGTTAGAAAACTCACTGCCCATTGCATCTGTACAGATTCATAGCAACCCTATAGGACAGAGTGGAACTGCCCCTGTGGGTTTTTGTGACTGTAACTCTGGGAGTAGAAAGCCCTGTCTTTCTCCCATGGAGCAGCTAGTTGGTGGTTTTGAACTGCTGACTTTATAGTTAGCAGCCCAATGAGTAATCAGTATGCCACCAGGGCTCTTGGTTAGAAGGACCCTGTTAAATAATCAACTACATCTCAGTTGCCAAAGCCAAAATGCACATTCATTCAAACACCTCATGCAAGTAAATAGAACTGGTTAGAATTGAAGCCACATGTTGTCTAGCTTATTTAATTCCAGGTTTCACCACTTTTATGTGTGACCTTGGTCAAGTTATTTAATCACTCTAGGCCTTCCCTATCAAATGGGCCAGCTCTACTGCATAGGATTGTTGTGAAGATTAAAAGATAATGCAGTGCTTAGCACATAGTAATGTCTACCATTTATTTTGCATTTTGTCTTTTGCCAACTAGAATAATACAATAGCCAATTTCATAGATGTCGATCACTTCCTCTGGTATTCACTGTGCATCTGAGCATGATTCATAGGGTTTATATTGTTCCCAGTGACAGGTATTTCTGTTGCCTCATGGTTTGTTTTTTTTTCAGGCAAGGGCTCTCTCTGTTTACACAATCATTTTCATAATTAATCATAGATCTTTGAATGATATCATTCTATTTAGAATAGTTGGTTCTCATCTTAGTCATTTCTTTTTTTAAAAAAGTAATTAAAAAAACTCTTTGAAAAGCTCTTTAAATGTTATATTATGATAGCATAGGATTGGCTATTTCATTTTAGACAAATATATTAGCATTAAATAAATTGACACATTTAATTATATTGTATCTAAATAAAGTGAGATTCCTAGGTGGCAAAAACAGTTTGCACTGAACAACCAACCTAAAATTTGGTAGTTCAGACCCACCCAGCAGTGCCATAGGAGAGAGGTATGGCAATCTCTTCTGTAAAGATCGCAACCAAGAAAACCTTACGGGTAATTCCACTCTCTAACACACAGGGGGCGCCATAGGTTGGAATTGACTTAATGGCAATGGATTTGCACACCCCCCCCCCTTAATTGTTGGTTCTGGTATAAATAAACTAGAGAAAGTCCCTTTCTTGATTTCATTTTTTTCTCCTTTTGCTTAAACTATACTTCTAACCTCCATTATTTTAAAAAATGAAAAATTGTAAATGTCAAAAGAGAAGGAAAAGTTAATTTCTTTGCTTTTGGACATGCAGCGTGATGGTAGTGATGATCTCAAAATTAGGTAATGTTTTAGAGAGAGAATGCTTACTCTGTGCCTGTCACTCTGAGTTGTTTACATATGTTGTCTTACAGTAATTCCCTGAATTGTGTACTGCTCACCCTTGTTTTATGAGTGAGCAAATAAAACACAGAAAGACATTTAATAACCTATACAAGGTCACTAACACCTCTATATTAAGTAGATTATGGAAAACTGATTTTGACTAGAAGAAATGTTTCCTCTATGAGCTGATCTTAAAACATGTCCCCTTTGAGTTTTACTTCCTCTCCTTCCCCCTCTTCCAATACAAGATGTCATCTTATTCTTTAAAAAAAATCTTTTTATTATGATTTTTGTGAATGATTACAGAACAAATTGGTTTTCCATTCAACAGTTCACAACAGATTTTGTTTTGTTGTACGGATGGCAATCCCCACAAAGTAACAACATTTCTCCCACCTTCTCTGTGTGTTTACCATTCCCTTCATCCTTCTTTCTTATCCCTTTCCGCCTTCTGAGCTCTATCTCTGGGCAAATTCTACCCTTTAGATCTTGTATGGTTGATTGTTCTAAGGATTGATTCCATCCTAATGTCCACCTTCTGGGCCTGCCTATAATTCGACTTCACCGCTTGTCGCACTGTGATGACTTGTGTGCTGCTGTGATGCTGGAAGCTGTGCCACTGGTATTTCACGTACCAGCAGGGTCCCCCAAAGTGAACAGGTTTTAGTGGAACTTCCAGACTAGAAACAGACTACGAGGAAGGAATAGCTTGTCTTCTTCAGAGGAATTAGCTACTGAAAATCTATGGCTAGCATCAAAACATTGTCAGACACGGAAAAACCTCCTGAAAAGAAGCAGAACATTGTCGGAGGTAGTGTCAGAATGTGAGCCCGTCAGGTCAGAAGCCACTGAGAATCTGCCTGAGGAAGAGTTGCCTTCTCAACGTGCAGTCAACCATGGTGATGTGAAGGGGGTAAAGTCTGAGAGAATAAAGCCTGTGGGTCTTTCATTTGCTGATGGAACACGACACAAACCCACCTGCCAGTACTCAGGAGAAAGATGTGGTAGTCTGTTATAAAGATTTAGACCTGGACACCCTAGAGGGTAGTTCTCTGTTCTGCACGGTTGTTATGAGTCAGAATTGACCGCCAAGAATTGACTTGGTGGTTTTCTGTTTGGCTTATGAAGTAAAGCCAGCGTTGAGGAGGTAGTGAAGAACATCTTCAACCCTAGAGGCCTAGTCTTTTTGTTTGTTAATTGTGGAATATGTCATACATACAGAAGAATACATATAAAAATGTACAGTTTAAAAATTAATTATAAAATTGACTCCTGACTGCCCAAGTCAAGAAAATAAGACTGCTTGTTCCTTAGAAACTCCATCTGCATTTTCTGATGGCACCTTCCCTTCCTCCCAACAATAGCATGTCCAGACCTCTGGGAAGAAGCATGCCTTTACATACTCATCTATATGCATTCCTAAGTATAGTAATACTTTGTTTTGCCTGTTGCTGTGAACATTGTTTTAAGTGAAGCCCCCTGTATTCTTCTGAAATTTGCTTCTCAGATAATTTACTTTGATCTAGCTCATGGGTGAATAATTTCAATTTTTAACTCTTAACTTTTCATTTATAGAAATAATTGCCATTTATAATTTTGTAAAATTGCAAAATTTTACAAAAATGATGGAAGTTACTTAGTAAATATTTACATGTTTCATCTTTCCCTCTCTGTAGTGATTGTAGCCTTAATAGACAGAATGGGAGATGCCAAAGACAAGGTTCGAGATGAAGCTGTGACTCTGTTATTGAAGTTGATGGACCAAGCAGCACCACCTATGGTAGGTCTAACTTTAAAATTCACGTTTTTCTAACTAATAGTGAAATACTACCTAAGGTAGTTAGATAGTTGTCACATCCAGTCTGTAAAGGCACGATAGTTGAATTTTTAAAACATAATTTGTTGCTCATACTTTGATGAGATTTGTAGTAGTTGCCAATATTTTGTTTTGTTGTTTTCAGCTTTTTCTTATTTTTTTACTCTTCAATGCCTTTCTTTTTTAAACTAGCCTAAAATTTTAAGTGACTTGACAATACACTGATCATATTATACTTAAGTATTTTCTGGTTTTCTTTACTTTCAAGTTATAAAGTGTTTGAGAAAGCATATTCTGAGAACTCTGAATGTTGTTAATGTTTGCCATAGAGACAGGAAGAACATTTTTATTTTAGCAGGTAAGGTTTCTAATTATGTAAGGAATTTACTCTCTGATAACAATTTGTGTCTTATAAATACAACAGGAATAATAATGTTCACTTACCTAGGTGTTTTTGAAGCAGGGTAAAATACATTGATACATATACAGAAATTTAAAAAGTAACTCATATTATTAAGTGGGAGAACAGAATATAAAATATGCATATCACTTCTCGGCCTTTTGGCTAGGATCAAGTGTAGTAAAATATGCATAATATAATTTCATCTAAAATGCAGTATGAAACTATAATTATTTTTTTATAAAGATAGTATTGTATTATAAAAGTGAATTTTCTTCCGTGATACTCTACCTCACAACAAAATCTTTGTTGTTTGGTGTAGAATATCCTTATATTGACTTCTGTGTTGCTTTTTACTTTTCTTCTATTGCGAAAAGTACTATAGAAAAGATTTAAGTGTTTTGGGGCACAGATAGAAATATGTCTATAGACTATAAAGTTCTAGAGAGGGTATTGCTGAATCAGTTTATTCATAGATACTTCCAAGTTACCTTCCAAAGAGTTCATTACAAATAGAGAACTAGATGATTACAACTGAGTACTCAGGCCAGAAAGAGGCAAAATGACTTTAGTAAACGTTATGCTTTAGTAAGTGAAGGGAGTGTTTGCAGATGTGGAGACAGGATGGAAAGCATTGGAAAAATAAAGTGGATTCCTTATTACACCAAACTCATGTACTTGTTTTGGATTGTTTTTATATGTTTATAAGATCTTATTCTAAAAAGAAAATTATAGCAGGTAGCCATGAAATGACTTGCCCAAATATTTTTCTGTATTTGAATCTAAGATTAAAAGGAGGATAGGTGGAACATTTCAACATTATGAAATGTTGAAAAGCCCTGTTCTGTGTGAGCAGTCTAGCAGTTGCTAGGAAGCATGGGGCCTTTTGAATGCTTACTGGACTACCGAGCCTATAATGGCAGCATTGTTGTTGAAGGTTCTAAAGCTTAGAAGAGATCCTGTGTCCTTGAAAAGTCTGAAGTTTTTAGGTATTGGACATGGTCCTCCTGAAAATAAGTGAAAGTATATAGAAATAAACATGAAACATAAGATTAAGACGTTAAAAATTAGCACATAGCAACTGCATTAGAAATTAGGCCTAGAAAAACTTCTTGTACGTAGTCAAGTATCCAGTGAGAAAATTCAATAACTAATAAGATTGCTAATAGATTAGTAGTAATAAGGTTGGAAAGTGATAAAAGATACAACAGAGTCATTTTAATTTTTTTATTTATGCATGGTAACTTTTTTTTTTCTCCTAATAGTACATTTGGGAACAGTTGGCTTCTGGTTTTAAGCACAAGAATTTTCGGTCACGAGAAGGCATCTGTCTGTGTCTCATTGAAACTTTAAACATGTAAGTTTAATGATTAGTTGAAACAACTTTCTTAGGTTATTCGATTTGTCTTTAAAAAAAAAACCCATGTCACAAAGCTCTCAGAAAGCTATGGAAATAGCCATGAAAAAACTTTAAATAGTAATTGAACTCCAAATAAGAGTTTTTATTTGATGCCTTTGTTTTGTGTGTGTATGTATAGTTATTCTTCACGTTGTGAACTCTATATTACTCCGTGATAAACATTTTTCTTGCTTTTCTTTTAGTGTAGTAACTTAGAATAGGTGGTCACATAAGTGATAGGCTGATAGCTTAGGATCTATTTCTGTACCAATGATGTGAATTGTTTTATTAACTCAGTGGCTTTTCAGATGCTTAGCCATTGCCTTGTTTCTTTGTCATTCGGTTGCCAGTGAGCTCTCGGTTCTCTAGAGCAGGATGAGTGATTACCAAAGTCTTAGTCTGAACAAGACTCCACCAGATCGGGCATCATCGATGTGCAGAGCTCTGACTGCGTAGATGCCACATAGCTCAGAGCTGCGAATCTGAGGAATGAATAAGCTGCAGACTTTTGTTCTCATTTTAGGTAATTTTTCCAGCTTCTGTACAATATAGTACTGGAGCCCTGGTGATGTAGTGTTTACGACAGTGGTTCTCAACCTTCCTAATATCTCGACCCTTTAGTGTGTTGTTCCTCATGTTGTGGTGACCACCAACCATAAAATTATTTTTGTTGCTACTTTATAACTAATTTTGCTACTGTTATGAATTGTAATATAAATATATGCTACGCAGGATGTGTTAGGTGACCCCTGTGAAAGGGTTGTTTGACTCCCGAAGGTGTCGCGACCCACAGGTTGATAACTGCTGGTTTAAGAGTTGTGGTGCTAACTTGAAGGTCATCAGTTCAGAACCACCAGCTGCTCCGAAGGAGAAAGACAGCCTTTCTACTCTTGTACAGAGTTATAGTCTGGGAAACTCACAGGGGCAGTTCTGTCCTACAGGGTTAATAAGAGTTTTGGTTTGATGCAATATAATAAAGAGTCTTGGTGGCATAATGGTTCCATGCTAGATTACTAAACACAAACAAGGTCAGCAGTGTGAACCCATCATTCATTCTATAGAAGAAAGATTTACAGCCTTAGAAACAGTAGTATTGCTGTCTGTCCTGTAGGGTCACTAAGAGTCAGAATTGACTGGATGACAGTTAGTTTGGTTTTGAATGTAATATAATAGACAATAAGTAGTAGCTTTCAACTTTTCCTGTTACTTCCTATTCTTTAAAGATATACCTCAGAGATATCTTGGGTGTGGTCCCACTGCAACTAAGTGAATATCACAACATGGCGAGTGACATGAATTTGTTTCTCAGTGTACATAAAAGTTTTGTTTCCACTGTATTGCACTCTAAAGTATTTGGTCGCAGTATGAAAAGGTATCAGGTACTGCATTAACAAAATGTGACATAGGCACATTCAGTTGGAAAAATGGTTCCAAAGGCTTGCTTAATGTGGGTTGTCACAGAACTTCGTTTTTGTTTAAGGCAGTTTCTGCAAAGTGCAATAATACAAGGAATACCTGTGTACTTTGATTCATTTTACTCCTCTGTCATTTTTTTCTACCAAGTTTTTACTTCCTTTAACTTTGTGTTTCACTTGAGTGAAAATTTGTGTGAAACTCAAAATCTTTATTTAAAAAAACCGCTTTCAAAAGCAGACACTCCAGTGTTAGATACGAAATAATAATAACAATATATAATTGATCAAGGATTCATGTGGGTGGGAGCATGGGGGAGGGGAAAAAGAGGAGCTTATACCAAGGGCTCAAATAAAAAATGTTTTGGAAATGATGATGGCAACATATGTACAAATATGCTTGATGTAATTACTGTATGGAATGTTCTAAGAGCTGTAAGAACCCACAATAAAATGATTTTTTTTAAAAAGCAGACACTGATTGGTAGGTTACTCTGTCATGTTCATAGGTGAACATTTTGCTTTCTTGGCGCTTTGTGGTGACAGTTTTGGTTATTTAAATTTGTATATTTCATATTGTTTGGATTTTTTTGCTTATGTTGCATGTCCATGATATTTAAATGATGTAGGCCCATGCTCTTTTCCATAATGTTTGTCTTAATGATACAGATAAGAAGAAAGTATTAGGACACTTTGGTTTGCATGTTGATTAAATCTTCTTTTCTTTTTTTCCCCCCCTTCAAAATAGTTTTGGAGCTCAGCCGTTAGTTCTCAGCAAGTTGGTACCACATTTGTGTGTACTACTTGGAGATTCCAACAGTCAGGTAAGAATTGACTTACTTAAGAATTTGCTTTTTGGGTAACCCTTTCTTTTCTAGTAGGAGCCCAGGTAGTGCAGTGGTTAATATACTTAGCTGCTAACCAATAGGTCACCAGTTTGAACCCACCCTCTGCTCTGAAGGGAAAAGATATGGCAGCCTGCCTCTATAAAGAGTTAGTCTTAAAACCACCAGGGCAGTTCTGCTTGTCTCACAGGTTGCTGTACATTGTATCTACTTAACTACAGTGGTCTTTTTTTTTTTTTTAAGGGGGATTCTCTTCTAATGCTAACCCTCCATTAAAAAAAAAAGGTGCGATTGAAATATCTTTTGGGGGGGGTCCCCCAAAGTTAATTTTTTAAAATAGCATATTATATTCCCATAAATTCCCTAAGTCTGTCAGCTATTGGCTAGTATTAATCGTAGATAGGGTTTGATGGCTAGTTACTGAGTTTGAGAGATGAATAACAAAGAACTGCCCTTCCTTTCTGTGGTCCTCCCATGTGCTAATTGTTGGAGAGGGGATGTCAAGTTCCTTTCTTTGTTCCTGGACACGGACTGCTTCTACATATGTCCCAGTGCTATCTGAGCGGCACACGGGTGGGGGTGGTGGGGGGGTGGTGGGGTTGGGGGGGCTGTTCTCCCTGGCGGAGTTTGGTCTTGGCTTTAACTGCTTTGGCACAGCCTGGAGGACACTTGGAATGTGCCCTGGGCACGCTTTTCCTCTTCTTTCATGCTTTGACTCCCCTGAGGCGGTTTGTGAAGAGAGATTTCTGCTCTCTCTCCACTTGCTCTCTGACAGTAAGCTGTGGCATGGGGACCAGCGCTATCATACAAATTCCTGTCTATAGGCCACATTCTTAAAAAGGAATTTTGAGGAAGGCATATTAATCTTAATGATCATTTTTATTCTTTTAATTATTGTTCATTGTTTCACACAATCTTATTACCAATGAAAGATTTTTTAAAGGCCAGATTAATAACTTTTAATTACAAATTTCTTAGATTTCTGAGAAAACTTTTCATAAAGATTCTCTAGAGCAACAGTTCTCAACCTGTGGGTCTTGACCCCTATGGGGGGGTGTCAAACGACCCTTTCACAGGGGTTACCTGATTCATAACAGGAGCAAAATTACAGTTATGAAGTAGCAACGAAAATAATTTTATGGTGGGAGGGGTCACCACAACATGAGGAACCATATTAAAAGGTTGCGGCATTAGGACAGTTGAGAGCCACTGCTCTAGAGATCTCTTGTCAGTTTCACTTGGTTTGATAATCTCCAAGGGGCTTCGAGGGAGTAAAATCAACTTGGTGCTTCAGATTGATAATAGTCTGCTCATGTAATTACCTTAAGATGAGCTGTTTTAGTTGATTGAATTTAAGGCTTTTTTTAAAAGTTCTGAATTCTTTGACAGGTGAGAGATGCTGCAGTTTTGGCCATAGTGGAGATTTATAGACATGTGGGAGAGAAAGTGAGGGTGGACCTTTGTAAGAGAGGAATTCTCCCTGCTAGGTGAGTCTCACTGATTAATTTTTTTGCGGTGGTTTTATAAAAAAAAAAAAAAAAGTTAATTTCAAGTGTTTGTTTTAAATAGTCAAAATTTTCAAAATTTAAAGATGATAAAGAATATAATGGTTATTGCCATTTAGAACATTTAAAAAAACGTATTAACTTTCTTGGTCACTCTTTTATTATATATTCATTTATTTTGTATTATTTGTATGTAATTAGATAGCATTGTTTTTTGATACTAGGTGGTAATACTAATTATTTGAAAGGTGCGAGGTAAAGTTATAATTCATAATAATCCATTCATTAAGCAAATGTTTTGTGAGTACGTACTTTTGAAATGTAGTATACAGTATACTGGGTGACAGGTTTTGTTGAAAAGTTTCTAGTGTACTAGAATATTTTTCATAACAATCTTTCATATTTCTCAAAGTATATATTTTTATTTAAGATATTCCAATTTTAAAAAAATTCACAACCACAGTGCCATTCATTATAATTCTTTAAAAATTTTAATATAACTCTATAGTACCAAATACTCAGGTAGGATTCAAATTTCAAGTTGTTTTATTAATAAGTATGTGTATACTTCTTATAGTTGGTTTGTATTGGGATCTAAGTATACTGTATGCATGAAATTAGTTGACATGTTTTATAAGCCTTTTAAAAGCTTTATGTTACCCCAGCATACTCTGCATTTATGTGTTGAGTACTCTGGATGGGTCAAAGCTCCTCGCATTGTAGATTCTGCAGATTCTGTCCTGCGATGTGGTTTACCATGGAGCCACTGTGAGTTGGAATTGCTTCAGTGGCAGTAGATTTGGTGTTTTGTTGGTTGTTTACCATGTTATTCTCTCCTCATTATGTTCTGTAAACAGATAACTGGATCAAGAAGCTTAATTAGGGAGGGGAAGGTAGATTAGGATAGGGGCAAGACTTCATAGATGGTGGTGGTATGTTTAGTTGTCAAGACTCTCATAATATCTAGTTGTTTCTATTATGTAGATTGTTTACAGTACCAATTATTTTCTGATAACAAGATTATCCTATAAATTGGTGATTTGCTTATAAGTTTTTTTATCCACTTTCTACTTTCTGGCTAACAAATTGCATTTGAGTAAATTCTACATAATTTCATTTGAGCAAATAAATTATATTAAAATATAGTTTGTATATGTTTGTATATATGTACATTATGTGTTTGTAGCTTGTTACCTTTTAATTCAAGTATGATAGTTATATAGAAAGTGCATAAATCATAATTATACAGCTCTGCAAGTTATCACAAAGTGAATACATCACATGTCTCCTATGTAGGCGAAGAAGTAGGCATAACATCATCCCAGAAGTCTTTCCATACCCCCCTTCATTTTTTACATGTTGTGCTTTTCCCAAAGGTAACCACAATTCTGATTTCTAGAATTTTAGTTTTGCCCATTTGGAAGGTGTTGGATCCATCTGCAGTTGTGTTTTTTCATTGCCATATAGTTTCTTTTGTTTCTCTTTTTAAAATCATTTTTTTGGGGCTCATACAACTCTTATCACAATTCATCCATCCATCCATTGTGTCAAGCACATTTGTACATTTGTTGCCATCATCATTCT